AATAATCAAAGTACGCCTCTTCTATATACCCATCACGTTGCAATTCGAATAATTGATCATTATTATAGATTCCTTTTCCGGTTGTTCTTACTCTACAATTTCAAAGTTTAATAAGTGTTACAAAATGAAATTTCCTTGAAATAATTGTAGTTTTAGTAGGGTTGATATTTTCAAACAGGAAATGCTTTGTCAAATCTCAGCTTCAATTTCAGTAAATATTGGCTTCATCCAATCTCAACAAAGCTTACCTTTCAAATAGTGAATCAACAACCACTTCATATAATTCAGGCCAAACATCTTTAAATGTTTTTCCTAATGCTATTTAATATTTAAAAGAATATTAGATTTGCAAAGTTTATTATAAACATATGACAAGAAATTATTTAATTAACCATATGGATGTCTCGTCTTTAACATTGGTCGATACGCTATATAAGCAAATAAGAATAGTTATTTAAGCAATCGAGTAGGCCAAGTAAATGAATTTTAAATTATTTATTTACCTTGATTATATAGTGAGATATAAGTAGGACCGATATAAATAACAGTGGGAAATACAGATTGGAGGCATAAATTCTGAAATTGACACATGATTTTTGTTTTTTTTTTTTTTAAGTTGAAATTTTTATAAATTTAAAAAATAAAAACATAACAACCAATTACCACAGCATTTTTGAGAGAAGTATCCCATAATTCCATAGGGCCAAGCGAAGTTGATGACCAGTCATAATTGTAGACTGTACTAACAAAATCTGATTCCTCATTCTTGGCATACTTGGTATTATTGCTGTGGGTCGACATAAAACTAAAAAATGAATGACAAAACTACAAAGAGAAACAATAAATCACTTAAATAAGAAATGATTAAGAGAAAATTGGCTTATTTATAACTTTACATACATATTAATTATTAGGGATAGATATAAAATTTTTTTACAACATAGTTAAAAATTTAGACTTTTATAACTGGCCATTGTGAATAATTTTTATGCGTACATAACGTACGTACCACAAAAGTTGTTATTGCGCACGACTCTTGGCATTAATAAAATTATTAGAATTTATGCAAACGATTTATTCACTGTATACGTATTAGTCAACTTTTCAATATTCAATATTCAATATTCAATATTCAGTATACAATATTCAATATTCAATATTCAATATTCAATATACAATATTCAATATTCAATATTCAATATTCAATATTCAATATTCAAATTTGAAGTATATATTAGTTCAATTTTTAATTTTTCAAATTTGAGTATATCATATATTACCCATTTTGAAACCTCAAGGCAGTAGATAGCTGGTTAATATATTTCATATATTTCAATTATGACGGGCGCTTCTTTCCCATTTTGAATATGCTCATACATTTTAATCAACTCGTCATTGCGAATAATGTTACTGAACCGTTTTCTAAAATTCCTTATTTGGAAGAATGTTTAAATGAAGCAGTTTAAAATTAGGTTAGGGTTAGGGTTAAGCAAGAGTTATAGGTAAAATACCTTCTCTACATTTTTTGTTAGTACCCCAAGGCAGATTTAGACATTCGTTTCTTGTATTTTTGGCTTTGTTTCTTTTACTTAGTATAAATTTTACGATTTGATTGGTTTATCCATGTAGATCTCCAAAATAAGGAAATTGAAAATCCGTTCTGTAATAATATGCTTTAAAGAACACGAGCTTTATTGTTATGCGATATTTTGCATATGTATCATGTTCTGTGAGAGGTACAAGAATACTAGATGAAATCATTTAAGGAGTGGCTGCATAACAAAACCTAATATAAAACGTCGGTGATTTCCGTTTAATTAAACAATTGGTTGTTGTTGTATTTGCACATTAGATATTGTTAACAAAAAAAAATTCAATGAATTATTTGCGTACATTGAATTGTGTAACATAAAAGTACATCAATTTGTTTTTGGCCAATGAACGAAAAATAATAAGACTTGGTATTAGCAACTTAGAAAATAAGCACTAGCGTTAGAGATTGGGTGCATTATTGTTTTGATTTTATTTTACACCTGATCTTGAAATTTAATTCGACCAGACAATGAAGTTTTTTAGATTGATGATGCTAGGGGGTTATACATGTTTTTTGATGTAATTAATTTTGCATCAAAAAGATCTTATTCGCGTAGCAGAACATTATATAAATATATGATATGCGTGTCTATAAGTAATATCATTAAATTGTTCATGAAATTATAAATTGACTTAAAATGGACAAATTTAAAGCTCTTTAAGTGGTCAAAATATCTGAAATTTACTATTATCCATATTATAAGTGGCGTTAATAGTAAATTATTAAGCATTTTTTGACCATTTTAAGGAGCTTTAAATTTGTCCATTTAAGTCTAACGTACTTTTAATTTATAATTTATTTATCCATTTAGAGTCAATTTATAATTTCATGTCCAACTTAATAACCTTCTTATATGCACGCTTGTTGATAATTAGATCAAAAAAAAAAACATGTATATGTTGTGCGTGAGATTTGAATAAACATGATTTGAACCTGAGCAGAATCACACCGAAATTTGATTTCGAGATGCGATAGATCAAATTTATCATATTAAAATTGATAGTACAAATTTATAATACGGCGAAATGCAATACATCCCATTTACTACTTTCTTTTTAACCCGCGTTGAGTGACCGTAGCATGTTTTTCGCAAAAATTTTTTCATGCATATTTTCTATAACCAATACGAGAAGTCCAGTTTTAACTTTCTTACTACTTTATTTGTGTCTGAAAACGAAGTACATTATAGAAATCAGATGATATATTTGTAAATTATTTTTGACTCAGTAACGAAATGTAAGACTATTTAATTTTTATTTGTGGAGTCGAGAAGAATTTTCTTGATTTGCTGAAATTTTTCTTGGTTTATAAGGCATTTTCTTTCTTATTTGTGATAAATTGACCAATCGATAAAGTTTGTTGCGAAATAAGTGAATACTGTACTTAATATCATTTAACCCAATTCGATTAAAACAAGTGGAATTATAAAAAGGCCTAAGACATTTTAAGAGATTTGAAGAGATGCATTTTTATTACCTTTTTTTTTAAATTTACACTGACATTTATTATGCGTATTTTAGAAAAATTGGTGGTCCCGTGACTAATCCGACAATGATACTAACTTAATTTCCTCTAAATATTAATATTCTCATTAATAAAATAGAGATAATATATCTAAAGTTTGTGTAGAAAATTTTTATTTACTAACAAAAAACCGGTTTCCGTAGTAAATTTATGAGTTTTTACGATTTCTTGTTATTTTTCATATTTATTTATTTATATTTACGTATTTAACAGTGATCATAACAGATAAGTTTGTTTCACTGAATTACGATAAGCTAATACTAATGCTGATACCGATACGTACTGTCGACCATTAAGTGATCTTAAGTTTGTGAAACTTGGTTTTTACTAAATTAGGATTAACTAATACTATCGTAAAGAAAATCCCCTAAAAAAGGAAATTACAAACTTGAAAGCGTTGTATATAACTGTATAATCTACTCTTGCTCTTGCAGTGCTGAACGGAACTCAGCTAAGCATACTGGACCAGTGGCAGAGCAATATAAAAAATTTCACAATTGTGCATGCAAAGAATATGCCAAGTTTTCTATAATGTACAGTATAAGAAAAATGGCTAGTTTTGGTAAATTTACTACACCTGATTCCAGTGATAAGTGAGACGTTAAAATGAATGTTGTTATTTAATACAAATTGTATCTATCAAAAGAATAATTTTTAAAAATCTTTAATCGTACATGATAATATTTGATCAAAATTTATTTTTAAAGTATCTGCATGCTGTTAACACCTTGGGTTGGGAAAATATTCCAGTTTAGCCTGAGCGTTGCATAAGTAGCGCGGGATGGATGTTATACTCAGGCTTTCGGGTTTAATGATAGTTGGTCATTAAGGAAAGTATAATCTAGAATGATCGGGATTATATTATTATTTTTTACAGCTATTATCATAATTCCTGAAACACCTGATAAAAATTAGCCGAATGATTTTTAGGCCGATTCGGTTAAGTTT